AAAGGTCTAAAGGAGCAGGGGAAGTGGGAGGGGTAGGGGAAAGGAAAAAAAGGGAAAAGAAAAAATATGAGAAGAGGAAAAAAATGGAAACAAGGTCTTTGCAAATAGGGAAGTGTGGGCAAGGGAAGGGGAAAAAAATTAGAACCAAGACACACATGTAAAGGTACAAGATCCCAATGATGAATGTAACTGTATTTTATACCTAAAATGTACCAATAAACTTAATGGGGGGAAAAAAAAAAGATGTGAAAATTTTTCATTATTCTTAGAATGCCAGAATGGGAAAGGTATAATTTTGATAAAAGGTGGTTTAACAAATTGGTTGTTTCAGTTGAAAAGATAAGTCATAAAAGTGTAATTGAGCATCAAGCGTGTATAGGTAGGAAAAAGCTAGTACACAGATTCAAGAGACCACAAGTTTCAGTTGGTGATTATACTCAGAACTCAGGCTTTGGATGTGGGACCTTTCTGCTGTCATATTTTAAACTATGAAGAATTCACAATCACTGTGTTACTCCTACCACCCATTTCCATTCCAGAGCTAAAGGTCAAAGTACCAAATTCCTAAGAAGACACATAACTGGGGACATCTAACCTTTTCAAGAGAAAAGCCTAGGAGGATGATTTTCCTATTAGCATACTGGTATAGAAAAATTTTCATTATTTTAATGTTTCTTAAATTGTAAGCCAACTTAAAATTGACCTACACATACAATTACATAGAAATTTTCTTTAAAGAGCTATTACAATTCACAAGTATAACTATCTTGTAATTGGAAGAATTGTCAAACCTGGAACATATATGGACTACAATTCTCTCTTAATTTTAAGATAACAGCGGCACACTATATTTTAGCACAACTTGTTCCATATTGATCCACACATTTTCATACTATGAAACGAGATCATTGTGTTTTTCACTTCTATGAACAACACAAGACAAACACCTCTGTCCCATGTGTCTACTCTACCTAGTGAAATGACAAGTTCCTGAAGGCAGAGTCCATGACTCTGCTTCTTCCATGCATCAATACCTTGTGTATTACTCAAGTTTGGTATCCCGATGCAGGAAGCTAACAAAGTAACAGATCAAGCCGGACTTACAATAGACTGTCGCCGCTGTTCTACAGTGAGCTCGTCATCAGAATCGCTGTAGTACTTCGAGTAAAGATATGGTTTGTGAACATATGCATGCCGTGCACTTTTTGCTTTTCCTTCACTGGAATCACTAGTTTGGGTTTTTGTTTTATTCTGTTTGCTCTTCTCTTCATCTGAAAGAAAAATCAATAAAAAGAACAGTACTTCTGTGAATTAGCAGACATTATACTTATTTTTTTGCTTGTTTTTTTGTTGTTGTTGTTGGTACTGGGGATCGAACTCAGGACCTTGCACTTGTTAGGCAGGCAGCAGAACCAGAGCTAAATCCCCAGCCCCTTATATACTTATGCTATTAAAAGAAAAACTTCAGATTAGACTTTAGAGTTTGAGCAAAACTTGACTCATCAACTGTGTATACAGACTGAGAACCAGAAGAGGTTCAGAGAATTCTGCCTTAGCAGTGGGAACACGAGGTTTTACAGGCTGACTGTGGAAGGAAAGTAAATTATCATGTTGAATACAGCAAGACCTTTGCCTTACTTGGATATGATCAGACAAGAATTCTCTAGTTGGGATAGCTAGTGGTTTCTGATGGCCTAAGCTTAAGTTTCGTTGTACTGTTTACGTCATGTTCAGTTTGCGTCTGCCCAAGGAACCCAAGGACCGGGGGCCGTCTCAGCAACATGTGTTCCCCTATCCCTAGTTTCTTACAACAATGCTCTTTTGACAAATAGTTCTTACCTCTCAGTGGACTTGATACGAATGCTTTACAACTGTTAAGTTAAACAAATTCACTTGAAGCTGTAAATGAGATTTTAATGACTCCCTGTGAGTTCAGAAAGGTAAGACTCAGTAACAGTTCCTACACTAAGCATACACTAAAATCCCCTACATAAGGAAGATGAGTTGTTTACATTTGATACATTAAAAAGAGAAGGGAAAGAGAAAGCAAACTTTTAAATTCCTGCTTAGTGTGTCACAACAGCCATCTTCTTATTTAGCTCCTATAAACATAAAATAGAGCCCTAAGAAAACACTTCAAAAGCGCCCCCAAACCATCAAGTATTAGAACTTAGGGCAGAGAAAGCAGAGTCCAGTGTGAGGAGCATGCTTCCCACATGGGCACTACAGAACTGACTTGTGAGGACAGACAGGACAACTGGGGAAGGCGGCTGTTGCTTCTTTCGATAGGTAATTCAGTTTTTCCTTTATCTTATTTATCTTTTTTTTTTTTGGTAGCGGGGATCGAACTCAGGACCTTGCATTTGAGAGGCAGGTGGCAGAACCACTGAGCTCAATCCCGGCTCTGGTAATTCAGTTTTTCATGGATATAAAGGCAGGAATGAAAGATTGGTGAGACTGAGAGAAACTTCTGTGGTGTTACAAGCTTCTACTTTTTCCTCTTGATTTTCTCCCAAGATATCCTATTCAAAGACGGCAGCAAATTACAACATGGCATGTAAAACCAACTGCAAATAAAAATCAGTATTTTGATTATTAAACAGAAAGTCATGAGAATTTAATCACGGGGTAAAAAGCACATAAAGTACTACCTGGAAGCAGAGAGCCAGGTCTGAAATCCATTCTGGTGCTTACTGGCTAAAGTCGGGACACACTTTCCATGGGCTTCGGTGAGGATTACATAGAAGGCCAAAGCCCAGACCCTGAAACACTGTTAGCTAGGAACAAACTGTGTAGTAAAGAATTCAGCTTTGCTTGGAGGGGTTTGGCTTTTGCTCTTGGTTTCTGGGGGTCACTGCTAAGTCCTGGGAATGCTATGCCTCACAAAACAAGTGGCGTAAGATGCGACACAGGGAGGGTGCTTTGGATCATGGAGTCTCCGCTTGACCTCCAGAGGGGTCAGAGGCCCGTACGAGCCACATGGGCTATCATCTACCAGTACCTGCTGGAGCTCGACAAGAACTTTGGACAAGGCTCTGACGAACTTCCCCGGCTGATAACCCTTGTGCGCATGTTCAGACATAGATACCAAGAACAACTCCATTGGGGATGGCCACTGGAGGCTTCCTGTTTATAGAGCTTTCCTGGATTCCACTCTGTGCACCTCTCTCCCTCTGGCTGATGTTGGTCTGAGGCCTTTCGATGTAATAACCATGACCGTGAATATACCAGCTTTCACTGAGTTCTCTAAGCACGTGCAGTGAATTATTCAATCTAAGGGTGGTTGTGGGGACCCCCAAACCTGGAACTGTTACCAGAGCGTTTATCTTGTGATTATGCTTCCCCAAAACATTACACTTACACAAAGAAAAGGCATTTTTATATACATTATCTCATCCAAATCATACAATAATCATCTCAGGGGGCGAGTTATAGATGGAGGTTGTTGAGGTTAATAATTTACCAAGCTTGCTAAGACAGATAGCCTCAGAGATGGGACTCAGAAACATCTCATGACTTTCCATGCTCTTGACACTTAAGCCCACTGTCCCACAGAACACAGTCATCAGAACACACAAATAATGCTCAGTGCAAGTTTCAGAGAGACATTACTAAGTAAAAGGCTTTACCGTCTGATGTGATCTCTCCTTCTTCCATGCTATCAGACATGACAACTTCCTCCTCCGTGTCTTCTTCAAAAGACGAAAGGTCACTGGTATGAACAGAGCTAACTGTGATGTCAGTAAGTCCGTCCACATCAGAATCTATCAAGGCACAATCTTCCAGAAGAAAATAAAACAGAAAATACAACACCTTGTTATAGGAACATACTCAAAGCACAATTCCTAAATTATATCTAAAATCTAAGTATGTGCCAAGTAAATTATCAAATAAATCAAGTACATGCCAAATAAATTATCAATAAATCAATACAAATATCAGTATCAATGAGTACAATATCAATTAACACAAATATCAGTAAATACAAAGGCAAGCTAGTATCCTGTAATAATAAACTATTGATTTATAATGTAAACGATATACACAAAAGTAAAAAGTAATTAACTGAAGTATGCACTACCTAATATTTTAAAGACTGAGATGTACAACTATGAATTAAATTGCATGGGATAGTGTCTGTGAATCAATTACCAGACAGATGATAGTTTACAGTTTGTTAATTTTCTGTGAATAGATATATTAGGATGGGACAGAATATATGTTTATTGCTTTAACACAGAAAACAAAAGTTTTCAGAATTTTGAAATGAAAATATCAAGATATAGGGCCAGGATTTAGCTCAGTGGTTCCCGTGCCTGCCTCGCAAGCACAAGTCCTGAGTTCGATCCCCGGTACCAAAAAAAAAAAAAAAAAGAAAAGAAAAGAAAATATCAACATATTTATTAATTTGAAGGCCAAGTGGCCCAAAGTAGAAACTTTTTCTCTAAAAGAAGTTTGTTTAAAAGAGTTTGTGTTTTAATGTACCTTCTTTTGTTCCTTCGACGGTTTTAGCTCTATTACTGCCCTTTTCTGAAGGGAGTTTTGAACCCTCCGCTTCTTTTTCCTTGGGTTGTTTCTCATCTTTTACTTTTAGTGCATCTTCACTTCTTTTTGAGTAATCAAATTTCTTTTCGGTTTTTTCCTTCTTTTCTTTTTTCCTTTCTCCTTTATCATTGCCGTCTGGTTTCTTTTCACCTTTGTCTGTTGATTTATTTTTTTGGTCACTGCTTTCCTGCTGAGCATCCTTATTTAGCAGAATCAAGCTATTATTCTCTTTCGTGTGATTTTTTATTTCTTCAGCTGGACACTGGAGATCACTGAGTTCTTCAGACTTCGGGGTTGCTTCCTGGCCTTCCCCTCCACAGTCTGGTGCAGCCTTTTCTTTATCAGCCGTGTCCTCTGAATTTTTTTCTTTCTCAGTACTAATATCAGTGCTTGGTTGAGATGAGAGTTTTTTGGATACTTTCTCACTGGTCTTGGCATTTGACATTTCTGTGGAGGCCCAGGCAGCATTGGCTTCCTGGTTAAGAGAAGTTATGGTTTCCAAGATTGACATGGCATCACTGGCTACATTAGCACTGGGCCCAGGAGCAGGAACACCTTGGAGGAAAGACAAGTTTTAGAGTAAATTTATGTGGAAGGTGGACACTTCTGCTGATCCACACTACAGACCACTGCCACCTCTATATGTGTTCCCTCAGGCTTCCAGGTGCCACTGCTAGCAGCATTCAGAATTTTGCTTACCACCGTATCTCAGGAAGAGCACCAGCAATCTGAAACAGTCTAATTTCCAGAAGAATCTTCTTTAGCTCTTTCAGCTATTCCCTGAACTATGACATGCACACCCATCTACCATTACTTAAATGCTTTTTATTATATATTAATCTCAAAAAACAAATGCTCTGCCAGTTGAGAAACTTGGGTGATATTTAAAGTAAATACAATTTCATTAGAGCAGCCAAATAGAGACACATTGTCAAGAACCAAATATCCTAACTTGATACTCGGCTCAAGAAGAAAAGCAATGGAACTGACCAAGAGCAAACGCAAAGCACCTTGTGTAATGAGGGAAGAATCTGGTTTCTCTTCAGCAGGAGCGGTGCTGCCACCTGCTTCCTCCTTGTGATTGAGTGTGGCCAAAAATTCATGCACAGCTTTCTCCACCTGAGGTCTGAATGTGTGGTTGATCTTTGGATCTACAACCTGAGAAATAATTCGGTCGATACCAGATTCCAGCATTCCTGATCTGAAATTCAAGATAATTAACAGAAAGGTGAAGAGATATTTTCATATTAATTTGTACAGATTACTTTTCAATAAAACTGTATCTATTATACATTATATATGGGTCAACTCTGAAGTGCCCTAATTCACTCGTACGGATTAACAGAAAATCAAAAAATGTAGGCAATGCAAAGTAAGCTTCATGCTTTGGAGATATTTTACTGTATTATAAAAAAACCCCTCAAAAACAAAAAAAACCCAAAACCAAAACTAAACCATTATTATGTCACTGGTGGCAAAATTAAAAGACTGAATAAAAACAAGACAAAACACCTTTAGAACTAGCCCATCATCTTTACAGTGCAGCACCTTTACATGTACAGGTGATACTTTTGTCACCTCCTATACTCTTCATACCCTTGGTATATGGGAATAGACAACTGCTAAAGTTTTCAATCGAAAATAATCAACAGATTCTGGGAAAAAAAATCATAAACCTTTAGTAAGTATCAGAATCTCCAGGAAAACTGAAGAACACACACAAACTATAATCTTATTAAATTGAAAAAAGAGAAAACTTTAGGAAAACAAAAATAAAACTTAGATTTTTGGCTTTGTTTTTAGCATCTTCATACTACAAAAACTGGATGATTATTTATTTAGCAATTATGTTAAGAGTGTCTTTTACATAACAGTTGCCAGGCTAGCCACCCTGTGGCTAGGAACTAGAGCAGTCTCTCTGGCTGGGGAGGCACATACAAACCGGTAAAATATAAGATGAGCTGGTGTGGTGGTACATGCTTATAATCGTAGCACTAGAGACTGAGGTAGGAGGATGTCAAATTTGAGGCCAGTGGGGGCTAGGTAGTGAGTTCAAGGCTGGCCTGAACTAAATAGTGCGAGTCCGTACCAGAAAACCAAGTAACAGCAAGAGTATGATGAAAGGCATGAGTACACACCGTGCAGAAATTAGTAGGAAAAGAGACACAAATGGAATTAGTAAGTATGTCCAAGATAACTTGTGAATGCCAGACAAAGGAACCTTTCAGACATTTCAGCTGAGTCTTGATTTCTATAGAGGGGGGAAAAGGTACTCCAGGATAAAGAAATGTACACAACAGACAGAGGAGTGATGAGCACAAGATCTGAAATGTGCTTCTGTACAGAGCGTCTGAGCAGAACAAGAGAACATGCCTTTACTGTAAGAGACACACTTTCTTCCTAAACACAAGGTGCTGGTCACTTCCCCTCCAGGCCTCAGTGGTCTGCACAGAATGGGTGAGATGTCTCTGCTTACACTTCACAAAAGCTATTTTTGAGAGCAGCTCTGTCTGGGGTGGATGCTGGATTCCATTTTAATTTCCTGAGGCAACTTGCTGCCTCGTGATACTATAATTCCACTTATGTGGGCCACAGAGAAAAATGAGCTGACATGGCACAAAGTAGGTTGCCTGCTTTTTAAAGTTCTAAGATCTAAAAAAAAACCCCAACACAAACCCTAGGATCACTGCTACATCTTAAAGGTGTTTTTGAAATATAGCAGGTGGAAAAGACATAGCAGCAATCTTGGAATATGTTTTTAAGGCACAAGTACAAAAGCATAAAATACAAGTAAAAAATGTATAGAAAATAAAACGGATCCATCCCAAAACTATTGATTCAGTCTCTTTCTCTGCCTATGTTCTTACTTCTTGTCCTACAAACAAAATACTTCTGCAGCCGTCCTCTCTCTAGTGGATGCCAGCTCTGATCGTATGAGACAGAAGCCAGAGCTACGGAGCACAGTGCTCTCAGTGGGCTCCCTCGGGGAGCGGCCAAAGCGGCTCACCAGAGTGGAGAAGCCTCAGTCCCAGCTCAAAGGCAAGGCCAAGAAGAGACAGGGAAACTGGCATTTTCTCAGTTAAAATTACTTCCTTGTCTGCCTCTTAAATTCTGCTCAGTTAAAAATTAATATTCGAAGCCATCTAGCATTTTCAGATTCTGTAGCACAACATGAATGCCTTAATAAGATATAAATTTTCTCTCTACAGAGTCGAGAGACTAATGAGTAAATTTAACTATCTGAAACTGCTGGTATTAGACTACGACATCCCACAAAAAAGGTAGCTGCAGATGGCTCAACTTCAGTCAACTTTCTCAAAGCATACGTATGAAAAATTGTTTGAAATTGTATTTATTTACAGGACTAGTTCATCCTTATGCACACAGCTAAGTAACCTCTTTAAGGGAATTTTAAAATGTTCTCAGTAACATAAAACTCGACTAATGGAATTTAAATGAAAATAGCTCATTTAGAAATAACACAGTTGGAAGAAAATCTACGATGTCCCAGGAACAAGCACTGCTTAAATTACACAAGAGAAGACAGCTGTTGTCCCTCTTTCACCGTGAGTGTCTCTAAATGAAAGCTCTCATCAGTCACAGGTAGACTGCCCCAGGACCCCGTCACTAACAGGCACAGAGCTCCTTGCCCCTTTCCACACAACGCCTCATGCTGGAGCTGTACAAGTGTTTTTAGTGCTTGATTTCCACAAGCGCGACATCTGAGTTTAGTTCCCTTAAATAAGAGAATAAAAAATGACTGATTCCTTATCTTACAGATCATGTACGCTGAAAAGAACATGAAATTCCACGAAGTTGGCCTTCCATTTGAGATCTTTTAAGATACGAAGAAAAAGAATGCAACGTGCTTTTACAGAAGTCATGTGAGCATCATGCAGAGGGAGGCAGCCAGGCAAAGTGCCGGGTGAAAGCACTGTAAGAACAGCAGACGCCGGGGAGTCGCCATCAGTGAGCCTGCCCCGTGCCCTTCCTGAGCGGTGGTTTACAGAAGCAACCATCCAGGCCATCACCCAACAGGTCTCTCTGTTTCTTCTCTTTCTGGACTTCCCCCAACAGGTGTTCCCATGCGGGCCTCTGCCGGCATCTTTTGATCTCACCTGGACTCTTTCACAGGTTCCTCAACATCCGCTAAAATGCAGACCACAAACTACTGTTAAGTTCCCTCTTCTCTTATTCACAAGGAGACACAATCCAAGCCCTCAGGCTCTGCTTTCTAGTGTTACTTGTGGCTAAATGGGTCTTTAGTTAAGAGTGTGACTTTTTATTTCTGGGGCTTCCTGTGGCTTGGAACAATCACATTAGGGAGATTCCTAAGGACAAGAGAAAATAAAGAGCTGGGCCGTATAAAACAGACCGCTGAACTGTTTAAAAGCCACATCTTCTTATTCTCAAAAATGTGCCTGAGTGTAACGCAGGAAGACCAGTAACTCTTTAAATAACTTATACCTTTTGCAGAACGAGACAGCAGGGATAGGAGGTCTCCTTCTTGTCTTGGCAAATAATGATATTCAAAAACAAATGTAAGACTGTAAAACAAGTTTTTCTTTTCCTTTTTTTTTTGAAGTAAATATTGCCCCTCCCCAGTCTTTCTAGCATTCCAACTCTTATTTTACCTTATATTCACTCAAACTGACATATATATATATATATATATATATATATATATAGTGTGTGTGTGTATATATATATTTATTTTTATTTTTATTTATTGTTTTGCTATATTATCACTAAATAGCAGAGTTAAAAGCAAAATGTTAAAAAAAAAAGGTTGGGGGGGGTCTGTACTGGAAAATTTGGCTTCCTATCAAGAGAAAGTTTTAATTTCAGTGACGTTTAATGTCTTTATCTATAAAGCCAGTTCTGAGGGTCAGGAAAATAACTGTAAATGCAGATATATAGGATATTATGGTATTGTCTATTAATATTATATCTTGATTTTTTAAAAGTCCTATCTTCTTCCTTCAAGTAACCTGGTAAGTATACAGCCAAACTTTACGCTGTTAAAAGTTTATGAGAGAAATGTAAAGTGTTTAGCTAGGTTAGCCAGGCATAGTAGTGCACACCTATAAATCCAGCACTTGGGAGGTGGAGGCAGGAGAATCACTGTGAGTTCACTGCCAGCCTGAACTACATAATGAGACCCTCAAAAAAAAAAGAAAAGTAAATGGACTATACTTCCAAATTATACTGCATCACATGGAGTAGCCACAGCAAACCTGCAAAAACTGCCGTCACTAGGTGAATAAACTGCAGTGCTTCTGCTTTTGGGCAAAGTACACTGTGACATTTTGAAGCCTACTCCTGAACTGGAAATCTGAGACTTACTTAAGGACTTGTTGTCTAATATTGTTTCTTAGTTGGTTCTTGTTGAGATGAGGACTCCAGGTATGAGTAGCCAAGTGGTTTGCAACAAAGTTGTCAACGCGCTGTCTCAAATTCTGATAGGCAGGCTGGAGTGAAAACACAAATAAACATATTAACAATCTCTGATGTCACAAGTCTCAGGAATTTAAATATCTTTAATAGTGTTAACATTTCTTTCCCTATCCATATAGCAACCTAATTTCACAGCACATGACAATTCTTACTAATTTAAACTCAGTCAAATCCTGCCTATTTCCTCTAGGCCAAAGTGTTTTGAGATAAGGAACACAAGGAAAATATCTCTTTGTAAAGAAAGAACTAGACTATAAAACACAACTAAATGTTAACTTATGAGAGATGATGTCTAAAAAAGAAAGTGCAAGAAGCAGAAGTAAGCCTTTCTTGAGAATGTGGTGTGAGCTATAAAATCAGTTTAGAAGTTTCACGATGGGGCTGGGGATGAAAAATGGAGGTCCTTGCAGATGCAGCCAACAGTGTAAGCAAGAGCAATTGGATGAGGAAGTGCAGGGTCAGGGGCATCTGGTAAACCCCCAAACCGGCATTCCAATTTGCTTGGAGAACAGAATACAAAAAGTAAAGAAATTAATTTGGAGACATAGATTGGGGCCAGGCGCTGGAAGGCTTTGGGTAGCTACAAGCCGTCTGAAATTATGGAGTACAGAATGAGAAGCAACTACATCTATGACAGCTGAGCCCCTGAATGACTAATCATAGTGAAAGAGTAAACAGACATAGAATACACTTAGGAAAGTCTACAATAACTAGAGTGACTAAGATCTGTACCAGGGCAATCACTCTGACCATATATTCAGTCTGATGGAAGGCAGTAGCTAGCAATTTCAATCCCAGGGGATGCAGGGTTGGGGAGGTTGGGCAACGTCTGAGATACTTTTGGCTGTCAATAGGTGAGGGAAGTGCAATGATGCTGCCAAACTTTCCACAATGCATGGGAGAGCCCACAGCAAGAACTATCCAGCCCCAAATGCTCACAGTGCAAAGGCTGAGGACTCTTGATGTAAGGGGAGTGGAGGAAGAGGGTAATAGGTCCTTTCTACTTTTACTCAGGACAGCACTCAGTCCCTAGAGGTTGTCCCCACCTTTCGTGGTCTTTATCTTTCTCTTGTATGGCTTTTAGCATAGTGAGTTTCAGGGCTTTTAATGATTTTGAATGATTTGAAGCAAAATGGTACAGCTCTCTCTTCTGCCATCTGCATTCTTTTACCTTTAAAGTTTATATTCCAGCAACAGATTCTCACACAACAACCATTCTCCCTACTTGTCCATCTGGCAAATTTCTTACCTCCAGAGCTTATCTCAACTTGTGAAGTCATTCTGACAGCCACAGGAGGTTCATATGGCCCTTCCTCCATGTTCCTGCTATCTCCTGCACAAAGACTATTTCAGCAATCCTTCCACTGCACTGACGTTAGGGTGGGGGGACATTTATCTCCCTACTCCTCTTCCTCCCTTAATTTTCATTTTTACACAACCCATCACCCCCCTGGTAGATAAACAATTAAAACATACTTCTTAGATGACTGGGTAGCTATGCACAACACAGAATGATCAAAGTTGCGTCCCTATGAGATGCCCTCTCACCACTACCAATTTTCAGACTTTTGCTGATGCCTGTTTTCTACTGTGCAAGAAGGCTTCACAATTGTTTCTCATGTTCTTCTTCATTTACTCAAAATCAGTGTGAACTGAAACCCATTCTTTCTCAATGATTCAAAAGCATAATTCTTTCTAGTATTCCCAAATCTAACATTTATTAAACTCAAATACGACAATGCATTTAGCATTCTTGTCTCTCCACAACAAGTTCCAATTTGAACTACCCAACAAGTAATTTTGTTTCCAAATTCTCCTTCTTTTAGCAAATTCTGCCAGAGCTAGCACCAGAGTCCCTCCAGGATCTAACTACTTCCCAATACCTTTTGTAGTAACATCCTGGTCCAAAATTCTCATCTCCTGCCTAGAGCATAGTACCTGGCCACTTGGTCTACTCTTGCCTACCTAATATCTATTTCCCATCAAAGTACTGTAAAGTTCTAAAATTGGGGCAACCACATAATTCACTGTCCAAAGTAGATCGTCAATAGTCACAAAGGGAACACTATTAATCACTCAGCATCAACCGATCTAAAATAGGTTTTGCTCAAGACCTGTGAAGAGCTTCTAGTCCAAGAAAAAGCCCACAGTGAGGTTGGTGTCTGAAGCTTGCTGAATCTGGGGAGGAGGGGGCTCCCCCAGCAGGCACTGCCTCAGGTCCCCACTCGCCCTGCTTCCTGCCAGGCCTGCACTGGCTCCTTCCACCGCTCAAGGAGAGGCCACGTGCCATTTTAGGGAAATCCTCCTCAACAACTGACCTAAACAAAACAGTGGGCATTTTCCATCCTTGTAGAGCTTTTTCCCCTTTCTTTCTTTTTTTCTTAAATAGACACTGTCACATGCTATTTTGGTGCTTTTCTCTGTTAGGACGTAAGGTCCGTAACTGAGACTTTTGGTTCACTCCTGGACCTCTGAGACCTAAAACAAAACTCATTTGGTAAATGTTCGTTGAGTAATCAAATTGACCAGGACCATTTATAAATGAGAGAGTGTTCGGAAAGTGTCCAAAAATCAGTTTTCATTACTTGGGGAGAGGGGAGCAGTTCTTATTGGTTGAGCTCCTGCCTATGACAGAATGACAGGTTTGCGACCTTTCCTCCACTCTCCAGTTGCTAATCATCATAAAGGAAGCAGAGTGGCTGAGAAGCCACCAGGCTTTCTCCGGAGATCTGAGATCAATGTCCACAGTGAAGGAGCCCAGGGTTCCCACTGGGAAGACTTGGTATTAAGGACCACCGATGACCCCACGACACTCAGAGCCAGTTCTGGCCTTCCAGAGTAGCAGCAGACTCTGGTACTTCTTACCCTTTTTAAACACACTGGCCTGGATGACATTTGCTCCTGCAGAGCACCTATCCAGTACCAAATGCCTCCATTCTTAAGTGTGTAGGTGACTGACAAAATCCAGTTACAGCTACAACTCTATGCTACAGGTAAGCCCTCCTGCAGACAGCAGGTCTGATTTTCAGATTCAGTTATCAAAAGAACCATACTACAAGGGGCAGATGGGAACCAAGGATTCCATTCAAATGATTCTCTTTTGCTTAAATAGGGAATCAAGATTTCTACTTTTGCCTACTTATCATATTGTTCTGAATGTTAAGCTCCTATGGAGAAAAAGCTATTGTATTTATTTAATTTTCAAACTTACTATTTTTAAATAATAAAGGTATATAAAATGTGCCCCAATAAGAATTTAAAAAGTTGACAAAATTTTTGACTACAAGGGAGGAAGAAAAGAAGGAAAAGGAAGAACGGTAAAGGTTAGCCTGGGGAAAGAGAGACAGATTTGGGGAGGATCTGAGCAAGCATATGAATGATAAAACAACTTCAACCATTCCCAGCTGCTTCCTGCTGTCTGGGAGGAGGCTAGCATCACTTTCATTGTACTGCTCAAAGTTAAACCAGGGAAGTTTATACTGTGGTCCTTGAACTCTCTACTAGGTAGAGCCACAGAAAACTGCATAAAGTCACCCACTCTGAATTACCAGAAGAGCATTTCAATGCGTACATGTACATTTTTGTTGGGAGAAAGGCTTAGCTCTCATTAGACCACCAAAAGAACGGTGTCCCCCCAAAAGTTTTTAATACTCTGTTTTCAGAGGGATATTATAGACACAGAATGAATAAAAGTTGAATCTTAGATACTGTAGCCTTTTCCCAGTCAGTCCATTAAAAATTTCAAGTTGCACACACAATGCTAACACACATATTTATAGGATTCTGAGAACAGCAAAGCAAATCTCCACTTGCTGGATACAAACAATGAGCTTTATGTGAGTAACTTTTACCATGTCTAATTTTCTCCCATTAAATAATTTTAAAAAGGTAATAAATATTACTTTAAAACAGATGGCTGTGCATATTTCTTTCACAAAGTAAGAAAACTATATAATTCCTAGATAAACATCCCCAAGTAAACTAAATTCTCTATGGCACAAAATTCCAATACCCTGAGATGGTGGAACTGTGTGCTGTTTATCTGAAAGCCTGGGAGCAACGTGCAGATGCTGTAAATACTCCTTTCTCACAGAAGGCTCTTCAGACCAGACCAGACCAGCATTTCCAGGAATAACCTTCAAGCCGCGCGTCTCTGACCCAGAGGACTCACCCAGATTGGGGGGGGGGGTTCCTATCGACTTCCCGTTTCACCTGCTTCCAGACTTCTACACTCCACTGGTTCTACACTCATCTCACTGAATTCACTTTTCTGGTGTCCTTTTATTCTTTGCCCAAACAGGTAAGTTAGCAGCTGTTAATTCCCCCTACATTCTGCCATTTGGTAAGAAATTCCTCCCTTCGCCCTTCCAGGTCTCGAACTTTTTGGATAAAGACCGTCTTGGTTCACCTTTCCCCTCTTCTTCATCCTGTTGAGCTCACTCTTCTCTCCTGCTCTTCCTCGACTTTCAGTCTCTGCTGTCACCTCTTCTCTGTCCTTTCCCCCACGCAGGGGATGCCTCCTATACACACCTTGCTCTACTTTCTCAACTTAAAAGCGTAACTTGGCCCGTGCTACCTAAATCAAGTAGTCTGCGAGAATTCGAGCTAAAGTCCCACCTCCCTACCCTTCATCACCGCCTTCCCTCTACCGCTACCCCCTAACATCCTGCAAAACACATTTCAAACAATCTGATCAATTATTTCTAAATCATTTCTGCAAGACACAAAGACGTGGCACCGTACTACCCAGGAACCTTCAAGAGAGAAGGCAAGAATAACTCGGAATGCAAAGTAAATCAAACGAGAAATAAGAAACGAAAATGAGCACGAATCTGAGCGCCGGGAGATTCAGGGCTTGCAAAGTACCCTCCCTAAGAACAATCATTTCGTCTTGCTCACCGGACCGGTGCAAACCCGGGGCCCAGGCAGTGCCCGGCTGGCGGTGGGTACCAAGCAGACCCGCATCGGTTAACTGAGCCCCAGGGCGGAGAATGAATGAACCCCTGGCCCCGCGCCTAGCGGCGCAGCTCCGCTCCGAGGCGAGGGGCGACGAGGCCCGGGTGCAGGGCGCCGCCCCGCGGAGCTGCAGGAAGCGGCCCGACACGGCGGCCCCGGGCCCCGCAGCCCCCAGCGCGCCCCGCACCTTGGTGTCCACGTCGGCCAGGCAGTCCCGGCGGAACTGGTCGAAGAGGCCCTGGCTCTTGAGGTGGTTCACGATCATGGCCACCAGCTGCGGGTCTCCGGCGCCCGCGCCCGCGCCACCCGCTCCGCTCGCGCCCGGACCAGCCCCAGGGCCCGGCGGCGGCGGCGGAGGCTGCGGCTGCGGCGGGGGAGGCGGCGGCTGCGGCTGCGGGTTGGTGGCCATGGCGGCCTGCGCCGGGGAGCGCACTGGCCCAGAAGAGCCGGCGGGCGGGCGCTCCCGGGAGGCGGCGGCCGCGAGGTCCCACCGCCTGAGGAAGCCAACGGGATGTTGTTACGGAACCAGCGGATCCAGAGCGACCCCGGAAGTGAAAGGGAACTGAGGGAGGGAAAGAAAAGGCGGGGACAACAGCAAGGAAGGCCCGGCTACGGGGCCCGCGAGGGGCCATTCCGACTGCCTCTGGGTGCCGGCGCCCTCGCGAGGCTGGGCTGCACCGGAAGTTGGGTAGCCGCGGCTGCAGCGCCGGCCGTGGATTGTAAGTCTAGGCCTACAACCCAAGTGCATACCTGACTGTCGTGGGTTCGACCTGACTGAGAGTCTATTCGGAGCCGGCCTGAGCCGAGCCGCGCGGCGCTGACTGGGTTACACCCTTAGTGGCGTCAGGCTGGCCGCTCTTGCCCGTTCACGGAGCAGTAGAGATCCATAGACTTGAGTAATGTGAACCGTTCGTGCAACTGCTTGTGCCAAACTCCCAGGTTTCTGCCTTCTCAGCCTGTGATGCTGCCCAGTTTCCTTCCCAGCAGGTAGCTCCAGGGCTCGGGGTCTTTTCCTCCCACCCATCCCGTTCTCAACCCCGATCTCTAGTCATTCTCCCCCTGTGCCTGTGACCAGCCTCTTTCGGGTCTGAAGACACCTCCCCCACACCAGGCTTTTAAAGCTTTTGCTATTGATTACCGTAAGAACAGGAAAAGCTTCTACGGCTCGCACTGTGGTTAGGGCATACATAGCATTAAGTGCTTTTACCTGCCTTAACTCTTTCAGTCTTTGGAAGAACGCTTAAGAGCTCATCTCACTACTGACTGTCCCCAATTTGCAAATCAGGAAACGGACCCAGAAAGATAAAATGGGCGCAGAGTTACACAGCCAGCAAATCGCCAGATTTTGGACTGATTTAGATTTAAAATTATTAGTACGTTCAAAGCAAACTAAGTATTGCACTTGCTCTATTAAATAGAATGTAAATTTTATTGGACTGCATTAAATACATCAGTAAATGAATATGCTTTATTCTTGGAGGGTTGAGCGTTAATTCTATTTCTAATTGGCATCTATAGCCATATGCCCTAAAGACCTTGTCCATATGAACAAGTACTGTATCTGGGCATGGGGGAGTTTTGTTGTAGCAAAGTTATTTAATTCTGGACATCAGAAAGTTAATTTGCTTATTTATGAGCTGACTGTTCAATTAAGTCCTCCCACAATTTTAAATAACCTGACCTACCAAAAGATTTGTTTGCATAGTAGTTATTCTTTTACCTTGTCAGTTCCCAGGAAATATACTGGATAAGCTTTACTAAGAGACTGTTAGTTAAACTTTTTTTTTTTTTCAATGAGATGTACCTTCTTCGGCCTGATATGCTCAACGTTTGAAGAAAATCTAAATATTGTTTGTTTTCATAGTTTTGGATAAAATGCCTTTTATTTTTAGGTGGTTAAATTGTTTTTGGCAAAACTATAGCTGCAGATTTAGTTCCCTCAAGTCGAAAATGTTTATTATATATGTCAATTAACAGAAAATCCCATTTTCACCGAGCTATCAAGTCAGATTTACATCTCATTAGAGACTCTTTAACTTCATTGTTTCAATTCAAATAAAGTATCATGTGTTCTAAGTATAATGAAGACTACAGAGAAAAAAGTTATGGAATGATATTTAAAATTTTATTACTAAACAGTCAAAGTTAAAATGATATAAAATATAATCCATTTTCAAAATTAGTTTTGAAAACGAGGCAACTGTAACATGTTTCCTTTAATTTTTCAACAATACAATTACAGTACAATACGTTGCTAAATTTATATTTCTTATTAAGTGTTAGTATGAAAAAGACTTAATATTTCTTTGGTATATAGGAATGTGTACATCAAATTTATTAAAGTTTTTTGGGAATAACTAAGTCAGAATCAGCCATAAAACTTCTGCAAAACTCCACAAATTTAATTAGACACAATGACCTAACTTTGAAGAAACTAATGAAGCAATAAGTGGTTTGCAGCTAAATTAAGACTTTTTTCCATTGGCTAATAATTTCATTTTGTGAATATCGTGTAGAAAATCCTACCTATTTTCCAAAATGTATTAAGGTGAGAATTGAATATAATTTAAATAGATAATTCACAACTCATTTTCTAAAATGTATAAGAGCTGTCTTATTGAATAGCACAGACTGAATTTGAAATTGTGCAATGTTTGTATCCTTAAATTGCTGTTGATGGTTGTGCACATCATACTTGATACAGAGTAACTTGGACAATTTCTTAGCCTTGGGGAAAACGTTCTGGATACATTAAAAAGAATCTAGGTCATTGATCTGTTCTGTACTTTTGGCTGCTCAAAAGTACTTTATATCTGAAAACAGGTCTTAGGGATGAGCATTTCAAATACCTGAGAGTGGAGGGAGACATATTTAAATCTTTTTAAAAAGCTGTGTTAAGCACTCAGCATTTCTTGCCAGTGACCTGTGTGTTTTGTTCTCTCCTTAGAAAGAATAATAGAATTTGTGACAGTAGTTAGGGCCTGGACGAGGTGAAGGCTTCACAAATAAATTGCTGTTATTCCTATACTCCTCTGTATGTATGTCTGAATTCTGAACATCCCGACAAACGGTTATATATTTTCTCACTGAACATCTCTGATTTTATTCACCAAGGCTGATGAAAAGACCACAGTTCAACACATTTTATAAACACTTTGGTGATGAGGGGCATTAAGTTTCTACAGCAGCAATTACTGGTAGACATGGGTATCCTGCCAAGAGGCAGGTACCTGCGATTTCCTGTATTTCTCACAGCCTGGTCTGCTCCCTGCCCTCCTCAGTGCCCCAGTCCTGTCTCTGGGGGCTTCTCCAGTGAAAGCCTTTACCCCGAGGAGCCTACCTGATCACCAGGCAGAGATGTTTGCTTGCTTTTATCCTATGGCACCCTGCTCAGTGGCATTCCCATTCCTAACTGGGCCTTTTAGAATTTTCTTTTCTTTCTTTCCTCCATTAAACCCAACTGTTAGAAGAGCATTCTTTCAAATGCCACTGCCTCCTGACTGGCAGCCCCAAGGTGGGCTCACTGTATTGTCCTTGGCAAAGCTTCTTGCATGGTCCTGATGTGGCCCCGAGGTCAAGGGCCATCCTTCTGTACTCTGTATCAGCTGGGCATGAATTAGCCATGAGAGCAGGAATCGCAGAGAAGTCCAGAGCCAAGAGGAACGCTGAGGCTCTAGTGATAGCATTAGTGGCCCAGTGGCTAGAAGGGGACTCACTGGTCTGGTCCGTGTGTTTTGTGGATATGGAAACCAGTGCTGGAAGGACAAGTGATTTACCCACACATATCCCATCCAGGGATCACTTGCACCTTCTCTCTGTGGAATCCCCTACATATGCGGACGAAGTCAGTCCGAACAAGGCAGTATTGCAAAGATACTATAGATTTAGTGGGTTTTCCCAGTATATATGGAACTGAAGACATTTAAAACTGAAGGAACCTAAGGAGGAAGGAGATAATTGAAGTTGCGTTGGTGTCAGGACATGAGAACAAGGGGGTGATGGAAGCGGATGGTAAGGTAGAAAGCAGAAAAGTGATGCTGCAGCATTTGGCAGAGACCAGAAACCTCACTCTCTGCCCATCTGGAAGTGCCCGAGAATAGGGTGCTTTGAAAATGGTGACTCTGAACTTGTGTTACCTTGAGCTGCAGGATTCAAGAGGGTGACTGAGACTCAGCTTTTTAGAAAAGTGGGCCTGGGACAGCAAGATAGCATTTGTGGCCAAAAGTGACTGGGATTGGATTATATAAACCTTTAGAATTTTTTTTGGGGGGGGAGGGACTTCAGAGGAGAGAAATCATGAAGGGGTGAAGAAGGAAGATTCTTTTTGTTAGGTTAGACATACTAATCAGCTTGTTGTCAATGCTTTACTTGACAGGAGATTTCTGTGTGGATAGTGAGCAAGATTAACAGGGGTTCTCCAATTTTAGCAGACATTACATCTCCCTGAAGGCTTGTTAAAACAAAATCTCCTAGTCCTGTCCCAGATCTCTCATTTGGTAGGTAGGTCCAAGACAGACCTGAGACTTTTCACAAATGCTGACAAATCATTTGAGATAAACAACTAATGACCCACAGGTCTAATCCAGTTACTTGTTTGCATGAACAAGGTTTTACTAAACAAGCAACCCCACTGGGTTTGCTTATGGTCTATAGCTGCTTTAGCTGCAATGGCAGAGTAAAGGCAGGGACAACATGGCAAGCCAAGAGTTCTTACCATTTGGCCCTTTAAAGTTTGGCAAGCCCTGGACTCAAAGGGGGTGGCAAAGGTGTGGTTGTGACAGTAGTGACTTTGGAGTTGGGAAGCATGTATTGGAGAACTGTGCCTTTCACCAGGTATGAATTTGCTGCTCTGAACAGAAGGTCTATGTGTAAGGTCTATGTGTTAGGTACGCATGATATGTGTAACAGGAACAGTCAGCATCATATACTTTATTTCTATTCCATCCTGTGATGTAGCCCATTGATATGAGACATTCCATTAACACATGGGCAGATTTACTGCTTTATGAAAAATTACTTTTGAGTTTGGGGGAGGTAATAGCTATGCTAAAGTCAAATTCTGAAATATGAATTCTTTCATCAGTGGGGAACCTGGTGGCCATTTGTGGTTCTTGAAATGTTTGTTTTGTTTTGCTTTTGTTTTTAATCTTCTTATGATGCTAAGGATTGAATCCAGGGCCTCATAGCCTTTAGCACTGAGCTACATTCCTAGTCCATTTTATTTTATTTTTATTTTAAGAGAATCTTTCTCAATTGCCCAGGCTTGCTGCAAACTTCAGCTCTTCCTGCTTTAGCCTCTCGAGTAGCTGGGAACAGTTTTTCTTTTCTGTAGGTAATATTGTTACTCTCCCTCACCCCTCTGTATTTCTTTGCTTTTAAGATTTAAACTCTTACTAGTTATAGCACTTAAATTTGGGAAGTGGTATTTATTGTGAAGTTAGCCAATATCTATTAATATTTCTGAATTGTTGGCTATTTTGAAAACCAGGCTGACAATATTGCAAATGACATGAAATGAAAAAATTCACATATTTGGTTATAAAGTAAGAAAGAAGTTTTGTGTTGTCTTCAGTGACATTTTTTATTTTCAAAAGAGCTTTCTTTACTGTGTGTTTCCTGAATAGTCTAGTGGGCATATAAGGCCCTAGAAACTAAAAGTCTACCTTCAGGGATGAATTCAGAAAGATTAGAATAGAAGGGAGGGGCTATAGGATTGGTA